ATCGCCTCTCATAGTAATATGGGCCTCAAGGCCCATCATACCTTTGTAACTCTCAGTAAACAATTCGCTATGTTTAGATAGCAACTCATTCAGTTGACTATCAGCACTCCTAGGGGTCTCCCTTGGGAATACAAAATATCTTACCCCACTCAAACTTAATGTGCCGCAGCCAGTTTTTACCGAGTAAAGTAGGTTTTGCATCATAATTGGCTACAAGAATGGGTAGAGAGTATGGTTTACCCTTATACACTATGTCACACTGCATTTCCCCTGACACATCAAGTAATTCACCCGTGTATGTCTTAAGTGTTACTTTAGAAGGAGACAGAGGCTTGTCTGCAAACCTCTCTAGATATTCACTTCTACTCATTATTGAGAAATCTGCAGCTGTGTCTAACTCCATCATACACAGTTTACCATTGATTTCCATTTCTACAGTGTACCTATTGCAATTAGGCTTGTTTTGGTCAAGCGAATTCAGATAATAAATTCCTAATTCCTCATCCTCACACTCATCATTGCCTGATTCTGAAGCCTGTACACTATGAATTTTACCCTTTTTCTTTTCATCCTTACTGCGACAAACAGAAGCTAAATGCCCAATCTTGGAGCACTTGTAGCATTTTGCTGACTTAAATTTACAAGACTGACCTGAATGATTACCCCCACACCTAGGACATGACAATTGTTCAGTGTTCTTCTTTTCAGTGTTTTTACTTCCTTGTTCTGTCAACTTGTTTACTTGAACAGTTTCACTGCGTGAAGGGTGAAATTCTTGGGTGTTCCTGTCTGCCATCTCCATGGTCTTGGCAATACTGCAAGCCTTTTCGAATGTGAGGTCATCTGTGTTCAGTAGTTTGTTTTGTATCTTCGGATTGTTCAGTCCGCATACGAATCGGTCACGTAACGCCCGATTGAGGAATTCACCATAATTACAGTGGACCGCCAATCTCTTCAAAGCCAGCGCATAATCGCTAACTGATTCTTCGGATTTTTGATTTCGCGTGCCAAAGTGAAAACTTTGTGCGATTTCCAGGGGCTTCGGGTTGTAGTGTTTCTCCAAGACCTCCACAATGTTAGTGAATGACACGTCCTTCGGTTTAGTGGGCGCCAATAAGTTGCTGAGGGTTGTGTATACCTCCGGCCCCACTTCTGTCAGGAAAATGGCACGTTTCCTGTTCGCCGTTACAATGTTGTCGTTACAATGTTGTTGGCTGTAAAGAACATTTCCATCCTCTCGACGTAGGCACTAAACGTTTCACGTGCGACGTTGAACTCGCCAACACGTCCAAATAATCCACTCGCACTAGTGCTGGCCATCTTCTATACCACAATACACACAGCGTTGTCCAAAGACCTTGCACTTTTGAATGACGTGGAAAAACGACCGATCCTCGTCGCCAAAATGTAATATATTGCTAGTGACACAAACCCACGAGGTCAAACAACATGGCCGCCTCAACACAACTTTATTCCAGCAATGTATTCTGGGTACATACACAGTAACCCGAGAAGGGTACTTAATATATTACAGTGGGCATGCTCTGAAACGGCGGAGGTCTCGGTACGGGCGAGTCGAATATCTCGATCGTGCTCCTTAATTCTGTCTTGCATAGGTCTTCCAGTCTCTCCGATGTACACCTTGCCGCATTCACAGGGAATCCTGTAAACTACGCAATCCTGTTTAGCCGGGTCGACAGCATCTTTTGGTCGTACTAACTGAGATCTTAGCGTCGCCTCCGACATGAAAACAGCGCGTACGCCTTGTTTCTGTAGGCAACGTCGAAGCTGTCCGGACAGATCTTTGACATAAGGCAAAACCGCAGTAGCTTTGAACTCGTTGGCGGGTTCGGCACTGTTGTTTGGTTTTGCCGGAAGAAGACTAGCAGTATGCAGTCGAAGTGTCGCGCACTTTACACCTCCCACACTGAAGGAAAGGTAATGAAGACAGACAGGAAATGAAGCTTAGCCTTCAAATTATGCAAACTGGGGTATTCCAGTCTACTTTTGTCTTTTTAAGCTTAATGGTAAAGGCGTGACGACACTTAATTTTCAACACGTGAGCATGTGAGCGCCTCAGCTAGTAACTCTGTAACAGCTAACACAACGGTTGATATTTTTTTCCTGAGAAACATGCAGTAAGGAAACAAAAGGGTATGAAGTGCAGGTGTAAAATACCGTCCCCGGGTGGGCTTGAACCACCAACCTTTCGGTTAACAGCCGATTGCGCCACGGAGACAACTGAGTATGTTTTGCCGTTAAGGAGTAGATTGTGTTTGCTAAATCTTAGATATTTAGAGTCTTTAGAAAGATGACGAATGTATCAATTTTATACTTATCAATTTTCGGTATCAATTGATAGCAAGAGAAGGGAGTAGTTCATCATAAAAGTTTCGTCTAATCCCAGTTCCACCGCGGCTTTCGTGTAGTTCACTCTGGGATAGGTTGTTAGTAATAATAGGAGGTCAGAACATTTTCCACAGTTTCGTATTTTGTACCGTGACTAAGTCACCTATTTGTTTAGGTGTATGATACCTTGAAGTTTACAGACGGTTGTAAACTACATTCCTCAATTTTGTCGCTGCCTTTGCCATAAAGTAATGATCCTGGACTGTGTTTGGGTTTAAGAAATGTATGAAGCTCTCTATCATCCAACAACGACAAGCACCAGTTGCCACTCACGTTTTGAAGGCAGCTTTTAGCAAGTATGTCCTAACAGAATTGAGGCATTTTTACCTCATTGCCTTGCTATATCAGCCTCGCATTCCTCGGTTTTTTGTCAAACGCACAAAAAACTTCTTAGCTGTTTGGCCGGCTCCATCTCAAAAATTAATCCTTCTACAACACCATCTCCAAGAGAGGCGCCGTAGCTCAGGTGGTTAGAGCGCCTGTCTAGTAAACAGGAGGTCGTGGGCTCAAATCCCATAAATGCCTTTCGTTTTTCTTTTTGTCATAATTCTATCTAATATACTTTCATAAATTGTCCCGTTTCCTGTGTTGAAAAACACTGCTAGCAAGAGTGGTTCGAAAATAATAAAGACCAAAATAAAGCTCACTGCGTCAGAAAAAAACAGAAAATCACAAACGTTCAGCATGGAGTTAAAAAAAAAACAACAACTGCTTGAATCTTCTCAAACACAAGTCAACAGAAAACTGGTGGCAAATAGCCGAGCTTAAACAAGTCAACGGTACTCAGAACTTTTTCTTGGTCCAAAAGCTCATGACGAGACCAAATAAACATCTTTCTCCATCTCACTACCAAACTTAGTATTTACTATCTTTCTTATTCTATTAACATGCAGGACCCTTTCGACATTGTTAATCCTAGCAGTATGCAGGACACGTGTCACATGTGGACCTAGCGATGACCCCGTGCAGCGTTGTGTCCTTGTGGCTGAGGGGTAGAGAATCGCGGAATATGAAGATTTAAGATTTAGCTTCTCATGAGGACTCAGAACTTTTCCGTTTTCCGAAGCTTGTGACAAGACAAAAAAAAACATCTCTGAGGGAAACTTAATAGGACGAAGAACAATTTTTTTATTACCTAAACAGCTTTAAACTCTCTCTCTACCAGCTCAAAAAGGATCCGATCGATAGCGGAACCTAAATCAAACTTACTCCAATCTTTATTGCTGTAAGGGGAGATAAAGTTTATCCTCAACGGATCGCTGGTGATACCATAGTGAAATGCTACACCCGTCCACTTAGGATCTGAAGTAAGTACATAAGAGGATAACCTCTCTTGGCTACATTTTTTTTTTAAATGAATTGAAGCATATATTAAGACTCTATTGCTTTTAAAAAAATTTTTTTTCGGGAAAAATTTGTTTCGGGCTGACGTGTAACCTCTTTACTTCGGAAGCCAAACGCACATATTCCATTCAAATTTCGAAGCTATTTCAATATGGCCTGTTCAGTATCGTTATCAGATTTAATCGTAACTCAATTCGAAAAAGCCCATTAGGAGCCAGATTTAATGACCTCTTATCATAGATATCAAGTCGGTGACGTTAATTTGGCGCGAAAGAGATTTTCGTGTTGACAGCACTGCGTAATCTTTCGTAATTCCTGTAGTGTAGCTCTCTGTTTGTTGATATCGCTTTCTTATGTTCATAAAAAAAGACGAGTTGATTTCGGAATTGAAGAAAACTAATTTCAAAACTTTTAGCCTGCAGGGAAAAGTTGATATTTGGAAAATATGGTTAAGCACAAAAACGGTTCGCGTCTCCCCGGCGGGGAATCGAACCCCGGTCTCCCGCGTGACAGGCGGGGATACTCACCACTATACTACCGAGGATGTCACACTGTCAATATGGATAGAGTAAATCATATGTTGTAAACAGATGGATTTATTAGTATTTGATACATCTTTAAGTAAATCATATGTTGTTAACAGATGGATTTATTAGTATTTGATACATCTTTAATCCTTTCTGTTGCCAAGACTTACCTGACTAAAGAGGGTGCCCCCTGTAGGAATTAAATCAATTTAAGATTTTCTTTTTAGCCTGCGCTTTGATTTCCTTAATTGTGTCTCAGTCCAAGTTTGTTGTCTGGAATCAGATAATTCCCTCATTATCACATACACCAAGCACGCGGAAGACTGGTTTGGACCGAAATAAAACGTTTGACAAAGTAATCGATTATAGACTGGACTTCTCACAAAGCGATACTTTTGAACTAAAGTAATTGATTTTTTACTTGTACGAATTAAACAGCTGAGTGCAATCAAACTGCTATTCATTTTTAAACGTTTTCTGTTTAATTTAAAATTTTGATCTGCAACTATCACCATCTACAATGCAGTTAGATGATTTCCTGAGGAAATAATATTTCGCCTTAACGACTTTAAGCCTCCCTAAAATGTTCTAAATTAGTCAAAGGGGTAAAAGACTGAATAAAAATCGTTTTATCTTTTTAAGTTTTAAGCGCATGCAATTAATATTTCAGATGCTTCTTTGGAAAACCCTACTCCTGCATGGCAACTTGAGAACCAATAATTAATTTACAAAGCACATTCTATCTTTGGAAGATGCACTTCTATCCATTTTTCTCAGCATGAAGTCGCTATATCTGAAATGCAGTGTATTAGCTGCTTGAAATTTTTCTGAAGTCTTGCTATTTGCCTTCGGGAATGATGGCTCGTTTGATATCTCCGTGGCTTCCTTAGTCTTTGGATAAATTTTATCAAAATCGTGGTCTGTTTTTTTCAACTTTATCAGTGGAAGTTTCATAGTATCGCTTACAAACATGTCCGCGAATTTTTCGTGTTTCCTTTTGGAAGGCTTCGCATAAGGATCTCTACAAATTAGCGGCGTGTATTTGTGGACATCAATGTCGGGTAGTTTAAGGCGACCGTTCGTTTTGTTGTACATGTCGTAGTTGTATGGTACCTCGTGTACCGTTTCCAAATTGTCAGCGAAGCAAACTTTAGCTTTGTGAAAATCCTTTTTCCTCCATGAATGGGAACGCTGTAGACGAGATCTCAGATTCATCGTGCTATCTTGAAAAGAACAATTAAATGTTTCTCGCAATGTCATGATACCGTCATTTTCTCTGCAAGTTTGTTGTCAGTTAAGCTCTGCCAAGCAACCAAGTCTGCATCCATAGATTCCATTTCTTTTTTCGAAGAGAGCATCTGAAAAACACCATCACAACATTATGTTCAATCCATGTCTATTTGAGATCAGTGCTGCTTCCTCCAAAATTTCTGCACCCTGATATTTGAAAAATACTAACAGCGCAACAAGAGGTTGTTTATAATGTCTTCAGCTCTCTTTGTCACTATCACCTTGAACAATAGAGTCAGCGGAGATCCATTCACACTTTCAGAAATCAAAGTACTCCTCGAGAAACGCAATTGTTTATATCGTCTTCACGAAATGAATTGTAAAATAAGCCCCCTTGGGCGAGGAGCCTTGTAGCAAATGCCCTTAAAAATTCTGAAACATAAATTCGTAACGGAAGTAAAGTAGTTTCAATTTTTTTTTCAAAAGAAATCACTACAATTTCAGAGACCTTCTACTTAGCCGAGTGCTTGATAAGCGACAATGAGGAGCAAATGTAAGCATTGTACGATACAAAATGCAAATAATTTTCTACCAAAAAATGATTATCAAGTTGTGCTATTGTCAAAGAACAAAAAACGCAGCACCAGAGCTCTAAAACGGAAGCCTTTTGATCCTAGTGACAATAAAGTAATTCAAAATGTCCTTGACTAGTTATTCGTTAAAGTTAGCGTTATGTAAACAACAAGCTCACTTTTGAAGAATTCATCAAATTTGAAACAGCGATAGCAACCAGTTACCTTTTTGAAGTGAACAGCAGAAAGAGAAGTAGTTGGTTGGTTTTGTTCCGATTTAATGTGTTGTCTGGGATAAAAAAGTTACAGCACGTATACATGAAAGGAAAGCTGTTCTTGTATGCGAGAAACCACGAATTGACGCCGGACGTACCAGTAGCTTATTTTGAAATGGAGCCAAATCTTATTCCTTCCTGTTTTAACTTAATTTAATTGCAAAAAATCCATGAATATGTTATTTAGCTGCTTAAACAGATTCAAAAGGCTAGTTATGTTTTAATGAAGCTGTTCTGCGCTGTTGCGCTTGAGATAAAACATTATCATGCTAATCCAAACGCCGCCATATTTCTTTCCACAGTCAGAAGAGAAATCAAATATTTGACTGTATTTTTGCAATTAAATTCATCGTACAATTGCTGCACGACAGGATCTTGTTGATTCACCGTAAATACATGGACTGCGGCGTTGCTCTTTTTATACAACCTGATCCCGTTCAGTCTCAGAGTTTATATCACGTATATGGTTTGTATCCGGGGTAATATTCTACCGTGTAGTCTGATCATCAGGGTACGGGTAGTCTTGAGAAGGACTGTTGTTGGTTGTGAGAATTAAAGGAATTCAGTGGGTAGAAAATCAATTTGAGAGGGTAAATGCGTCATCGCGATTTGCACCTCGTTTGCAAGAGTTAACACCTTCCCACCATAGGAGGAAAGAAAGCAGTTTGAACGAAACGAGCAAATCTTCGCTTATGTTTAGGAATAAAGCAACAATTCCACAGGCGATGATCGACAACGTAGCGGTGATGATAACGTAAATCGTTCGCTGTGCTAACGAAGAATGCTCGATTGACTTATCACCCACAAACAAACATCATGCTTTGAGCGTTACGTCGGTCGCGCGTCTTACTTTGTACAACAACATTGATGGATACCCGGGAGCCGACATACTTTAAAAAAGTAACATTCCTTCGCCCGGCTATCAAGCGCTGTCTACCAGCTATCGACGGAGCGTCGGGCGAGTGACGACAGAATATCGAAAAACCATTAGGTATTATATCAAACTTTCTTAATTCTGCACAATTTCGTTTCCAGAAGTACCCGGAAGCGTGCAAATTTACCGTAATTAGCTCCTGTCGGGCCAACATATGATCATCAATTATTGAACCAAAACTTCAGTTTTACTGTACAGTAGATATCTAGTGAAAACTGGGAAAGAGCCACAAAAAAATAGGATAAACAATTTTGGACAATCAGTGATTGTTCAAAACTACTTATCCCTTTCTCCGAGTCTTTTTTTTTGTACAAAATCTGTCGACCTTCGCGAAATAGTGCGAAGCTCTTTCCGGCTAATCGCCGAAATTAGATTTTGCCAATACAAAGAACGAAACTCTGGTAAATGATAAAAGTTTCATTTTCTAAGCGACATAAAAACATTTGGCGAACCTCTTGACTAAATTTGCATACTTTCATGTGCTTCGTTCATTTAGTTTCGATCATTTTTTGTCAATACTTATTTACACCGTATGGTTTAAATGTTTAGGAAGCTGCTGAGGGGAAAACATTGTGATGGCTTTTCTTGTTCTACGTGTGGAGACATTCTTCTTTTCCTTGTTATTTGCCTGTGGAGGTAACCTTTACATACGAAAATTTTTAACCGGAGTTGATATTGCTACTTTGAAGTATTTATTCCGTATTACAGATTTTCGATTTTGTTCAGTCCACATTTCACTAAAAAACGCTCAGACTGAGTCTTCCTAAATATGACGAAAAGTTAAGAATCGAGGTTTATATTCTTACCTGTCTGTTCATGTCTATGTTTTCATCACCAGATGTTCCTGTAGGATATCATTCTTTGTTTAGAATAGAATTTTAGTACTCGAGAAGGTTCGAAAACTTATATCTCTAATTAAGTGACGATAACGAGCACCGAATTCATCTGCATTCGAGATTACCCGTTTTAATTTGGCCAAAGTCTCAAACTTGCGATGAACAGTGTAGAGTGTAATATCTCCTTTTAAACTCAGAGTCAAAATTTTTCCTAGAGGAAAGGCCTTTCATTTCTTCTGTTCATATCGTGATGTTATTGCCCAAAAATTTGGAGTACGAAATAACGCGTGAAATCATGCTCACTTCACCTTACCTTCACCACAAGTTCACCGGTTTGCACGAATGATTGCAGTTGTTTTATTTTTCGTTAAGATTTCTTCATTACCAAAATTAATTCGAAAGGTACCGTAATGAAAGAAATTCAGTTTCTATTAAAACTAAAATTCTTTGCAGAGAACTGGATTGTATCATGAAACTCGTAAAAATGAATTTATCAGTACAGTTAGAGAGGTATTAACGACTCAGACGTCCATCGATTATTCGCTAATTCCAGTCTTACATTAGATTAATAGAATTTTAAGTAACAAAATTTGTCCTTCGATAAATCGATTACATTTGAAAAAAAATTATCGAAAATTTGATTTTAAGGGAGGCTATTTCTGTTAGGATCGTGTCATCCCAAGCAAATGTGTCGCCAGTTTTTGAAAAAAACAAAATTGAAATGCATAGACAAATACCCACTCGGTCTCGTAAACCAAATTAAAAAATTGACTGGTTTCTAATTCACAGATTCTCAAGCTCTGTATACGAACCTCCAAACTGTTTACGTCTCTACGTTGGGACACGACTTTGTCAACTGTGGTTCTTACGACGAACCATGCCTATCGGTGAAGTTAGCCGTTCTTAGGGTGACCTGGGGCGGAAGGATACTTTTAAATGGGACTGGAACCGAAAAGCATCCGTACGATTGTGGGGACAGTAACACCACTCTCTATATAAACAAAAGGGTAACAATAGAAGGCGTGTATTTCAAGCCTCGTGTATCCTGTCATTACGGCATTAATTTCCAGGTCCCCCCTAGCAAAGAGCAGTCATTGGGAATATTGCTATCAGGAATAATCTTTAGTCGAACAGCTTTGACGTTCAACGACAGCTTGAACGCGAAGATCATCGACTGTTTGTTTGAAAACGCCTTGACTGCGCTGACGATTCAAATTCAGGACAGTGAGGCTTTTGAGTTAGATATTCGATACTCGAAATTCCTTCACAACGAGGTATTGTGTATTAAGCTCTCGTTGTTAACTCCAGGTACAAACGGAACTTCCCAAGTCTTCTTGAGAGTTTTCGACACGCATTTTATGGGAAATGGGTTACGAAACAGAAGGCTGACTGAGAGTGGAATAATCAAAATAACATCCAAGGCGGAAGTAAACATCACGTCCGCCCGGATCATTACCTCCATCCAGAATGTAACATGTTCAGAGAACTATGGGTATTTCATGAATCTAAATGCTTCATCAGCCGTGACGGAAGAAACTTTTACAGACATTCGCTTGCACCATAACATCCAGTCACTTTCGCAGAAAGTGGCAAGGAAATTTGATGTGGATAGTCTTTATTATTCAGTTACTAGAGAAACTCGTGTAAGGTTAATTAATATACAGTGCATCCAAAACTTTGACTTACGATGTATAGCGATTCATTCCCAGAAAGCTGACGTGGAAATTCGGAATTCAAAACTCGTTGGGCAGTCTGCCAATCGGAGCAAAGGAGCTGGTTTGTTTTTGGTGGCCAACATTACAGCGCTATTAAACGTTTCAAATACCAATTTCACCTCAAATAAAGCAGCCATGGGTGGTTGTGTGTTTGTCAATGCTCCAGATGGAACTTTAACTGCGAAATTCACCAACGTCAAATTCGAACACTGTAACGCCAGTAAGACTGGTTGTGCGCTTGCAGTTGGGGAGCCCCCTTTACCACACCAATATTATGGATCATGTCCGTCCAAGATGCATTTGACAATCACTAATGCAAATATTGTTGCTTGTCAAGGAAAGTCCCGCAAATGTATAATTGTCTTCTTATGTTTAAAAAGTGGTGTGATTACGATAGAGGGGTCCCAATGGATGAACAACTTGAAAAAAGACAAGCAGCTCTTTGCGTATAAGAGCAAACAATGGAAATGGTGAGATGGCCTTATCTGTTTCGAGGTCTTCCTTTAAGAACAATGAAGGGAGCTCAATTTCGATGAAAGCGCCGAATTCAAATGGAGGAAACATAACCATTGTGGACACTTTGATTGCTAACAATTTGAAGCGATCGACAACAGGCTTGTCAATTAGTCCTAAATACCTACTTAAACTTGTGAACGTGTCAATAGTGCAAGCTCATTATGGACTGAAAATGATCGCACTAGCTGATCCTAGGCGAGAAGTCTACCCAGTTAATATCGCTGTCTATAATTGCACTTTTAAAGATAATACCTATGATATGCTATTCAGTCTGCGTGACCCCCGATCGGTTCGTCTCATGATTCAGAACACAGTCTTTACTAGCAATGAGACGTGGAAAAGAAGCTATGCCATACGCTTTCACATTCCACCTCTGAAAAAGCTGAATACTTCTCAGGCGGTTATCGGCCTGGAAAACAATACTTTTGAGTTCAGGCCATCCACTAACTTTGCTCTTTTCTTCCATGGTAATAAAACGTTGTGGATAAGACGGTCCACCTTTAGAAACTGTGTCTGCCTCTATCGCGAAAAGTGGGCAGTGCCAAGGAGCGGTTCATCTGACTCCTATTTCTATGAGACAGCTACTGGCGCATTATCAATTATCACGAGCCCTGATACACCATCAAAATCCGGTTGTGTTCAACCGAATACCAGAGACGATACTCACCCATTGTGGACGTATCACAGTGACGTGATAATTGAAAATACCATATTTCAAGATAATACGGGTATCATGGCTGGTGCAGTATCAATCAATAACGGAAACATCACGTTTCAAAATTGTGTCTTCCGAGACAATTTTGGTATTGAACTAGCAGGTCATGTTTATTCTGCATATGGAACGGGTCAAGTGCTTTTTAAAAACTGCTTCTTCGTCAGAACAAAAGAAAGTTTGAAACTGAGAAATGGCACGTTCTCTAAAGCAACACTCTTGTATTCTGAAAGTGGAGGGCCAATGAGATTTCAAAACACATCCATGACTTCATTTGTTTCTACGTGGAGTCCATATCCAGTGCTTCATATTTCTAGCGGAGGATACTTTTCTATGGACCACAATACAACCATTCAGTGCAACAAAGGAAGTCAGCTCTGGCTTGAAAATACCACTCATTTTTCTTCAGCTGAAAACATGAAGAATTTTTGCAAGCTTAATGTTACCAGCCTAAAATTTACGTGTTGGACTTGTGCCGCTGGTCATTACAGCATCCGAGAAGGGCGTTCACGTGGTTTAGATGTGGTAGACAAGATTACGTGTTACAAATGTCCATTTGGGGCCAGTTGCCAAACTGGAATCATAACTGCAGACGAAAATTTCTGGGGATATCAAAGCACCAAAAGACCGCCAGAGCTCGCGTTTATTCCTTGCCCCGACAGTTATTGTCGAAGTCCAGCTACCGGTTCTTCGGAATATAACGAATGCGTTGGAAACAGAACAAGCATTTTATGCGGCACCTGTGCTCCAGGATATAGTGAGACTCTTCTTTCTACCGATTGTCTGGCCAATGAAAAGTGCAGTAACAGCGTGTACTGGTTGATTATAATACTGGCCACAACTAGCCTGGCTACATATCTTTTAATCAAACCACCAATTTTCACATTTCTCAAAAAGCAAATATTATGGTTTAGGAATCAGGAACATGGGATAGCAAAGGAAGATTTAGGTGACGTCTGTGAGCACCTGGACAGCGGTCATCTTAAAATTGTCTTTTATTTCTATCAAGCTGCCGAGGTACTGACTGTTAGTTCCACCGACGACTTGCTCCATAAAATAAATTTTATGTCTGTGATCATAGCAGGTTTCAATTTTCAATTTCGCATATTTAAGGAAAAAGCGGGATGTCCTTTCGTTGGCCTTACAGCAGTGACCAAGGAGTTGATGCTGTCTGGAACAGTTTTTGCCACCATGGCAGAAGTTTTTATCATCTACTGGTTGCATTTTGGTTTCAACATTTTACGACGTAAGGCAGTCCCTTCTCCTCAACGATACATAGCGACAATCATAGAGATAATGCTGCTTGGATACGAACGGTTAGCAGAAACATCTTTGAAGCTTTTACGATGCGTTCCTATAGGTTCCGAAAATCGTCTTTACCTCGACGGAAGTGTTACATGTTGGCAATGGTGGCAATATGCACTACTGGCATACGTTATAGTATTCGTGGTCCCTTTCTTCTTTGTTCTTTACTTCGGTTCTTTTAAACTTTATCGGGGACTGGTTTCGACTGGCGAGTTCCTGGGAGCATGCATTATGCCACTGCCTTTCCTGGTATACTGGCTCATAAGACACAAAATGAGGCCGAACACCGATTCATCGCTAGTAAGAGGGAAGCCTGAGAACGAACCTGTGTTGGAAGTACTACAAGGACCATTTCGCCCGCCAAATGATGACGATAGTGGAACTTTATACTGGGAGAGTGTTTTGATTGGCCGCCGTTTAATCCTCCTTGCTTGCCGTGCGTTTATTGAAGATGCAATGTTGTGCTCAGTCCTCATGGCTGCTCTTTGTGTTGTCAACCTCCTCCACCATCTGCGCAAGAACCCTTACCACAGCACCATCACTAACAGCACCGAGACAGTATCCCTTTTTGCATTGGTTATTATTTCGCTAATCAACATTCCAAAGGCGACTCTTATCTCGTTTAGCACAAGCCGTCACGGGCCGAGCATACGGTATTTACAAGCCATGGAATGGATTGAGATCTGTGCTCTGTTTTTCTTCCCATTGTGGTTTTGCGTGTGTGTAGCTCTCGCCATCATTTCTCAGCTCTTTCGTTTTATTGCACCTACAGCCATACAAATATATCGTTACCTAAGGCGATGTCATACAACGACCTGGAGTACAATAGATATGAGAGAGCCACTTATGGGTACCTCTTATCTGGACTCCGACAATGATTCGTAACTGTGTGTATAGCTCTTCGCACTAACAACCGCTTAGTGCAGTGGAAACAATGAACTTATCTAAACTGTGAGGGAAAATACCGCACGTGTCGTTCTGTTTACAACATCGCCTTCGATAACTGTGAAACAAACACGTTTTTCACCAATTTTCCCATTTAAAACTCTATGCTCGGAATTGTTTTTAAAATAAGACAACAGAGGACTTTATCCTTTCTTGGATATGACGAGTTAATTGTTGAAGCAACAGGTTTTTAGACCCGAAACAAGACATTTTTTTAGTTTTATTCAGAGGGAAGATCGAAAAATAAAAATCATCGAGTTGATTAACACCTTTAATTAATCAAAATTAATTCCTCTTTTGATAGTATCATTTACTTAAACGATTAAAAATTTCAGTTAAAAATTTAACCAGTCCTTCTTTTGAGGGACCAGTCATTGCTTATCGTTAAGGGGAGAGGGGTCGGAGGATTTTGGTTTTGTTAGGGGGAGAGGGGTCGGAAGATTTTGGTTTTGTCATAATAAAATTTACCTGATCTTCCCATAAGATCTGTATTATTCTTAAGACCCCGAATACCCCCCCCCCCCTCCATTGGCAGTAAATGACCTGAAGTCCCCTTTAAAATTTTGTTGGATACGACTGATCCCTCCTCCGCCCCCCCCTCAAAACAAAATTCTCTGCCCCTTCCCCCCCCCCATGGACAGTAACTGATCCTTAAGCTCACCGAAAAAAAAGTAAGATGCGTGGAAATTGATTTCGATTTTCAAGTTTTTGTATTGAATGATAAAATGGACAAAAACCACTACATTTTTCAGGGTAGTTTGACTTGCCGGTTTGATAACTTCCAAAAGGTTTTGTCTTAAAGAGTTCACAACCTTCAAGTAAACTAACTTCCATCTGTGCGGCAAGTAAGAATGTCCCCTTGTGTGCAGATTATGAGCAGAGAAGCATAATGCAGCTGGAATTAGAGTACAATGAAGTGGCTATCATCGGTAGTAGGCTGAGACAGATAAACTACCCCAATGAGGTGACAAGTGTTGAATCTCTTTATGTTCTGCGGCAATCAGCATACTTGACTGCAACTGGTGCAGCTGGAGGGTTATACGGTTATAACCTCGATTCTGTCAATGTTAAGCGACTCTTGTGGAATTCTCCAGATTCTTGCAAGGAAATCAAGAGGCTGTACGGTTATGAGGGCAACATCGTTTTCACCGAAAACAAAGATCACAAGGGTAAGACCTTTAATCCCTTAAGTGCAACAGTCGAGACCTTGTTGGGTACTGGCCATGAAGGAACCGCTGATGGAACTGAAGAAAGCTGCTCATTTACACAAGTTCATGCAATCTGTTCTTTGCAGAACACTATTTTGTTTCTGATTTAGCTGCTGGAACAATCAAACTAGTTTCGGGGCTTACTGGCACAGTGTCCTTTCTTCGCAACGTCGGATGTCTCCATGATAGTTTTGGAATTGGTGCACGTACGATCGACGCAGTCCAATTATCTCTTCAAGATGCTGTGTGCAATGTTTCACCTGTAAATGTTTATATTAAAAAAAACCCGTCGCTGAAGTAAGGCAGTACTATAAAATGAAAGAAACAACAGCAACAGATGGCCCTGAAGGAACTGTTTCCAGCTAAACACAGGAGTCATTGGTACTTCTCGAACGAGGTACGGAACAGCTACGAGATAACGTTAAGAATGTAAACGTGGACTATCTTGGTAACATTGACCTGCGTACGCTGTTAACAACTCAGGTGGAGAACATTCATGCAGTCTCCCACTTCAAAAACGAGACTTTCACTGCTCTTCAGTATGCTCAAGTGTTTGGAAGTCTTATTATCCAGTGCCCAAATCCGGTTTGGAGTTACGGGACGTAAATTTGATGAAACCTCCTCCAGCTGGTAGCGTTGATCCCAACATTGAGGCAGCCATGAAGGAATTGGTTGACAGGTATCGACCTGTCAGGCAAAGGACGGTAAGAAGTGAATCAACAAAAGACAAAGCGGGAGCCCTGCCGCCGGCTGTATATTCCAATACGTCATCGTGTACTAGAGTAACATTCCAAGAGGATGTTCAAGACGATCCAGGGACAGGCAATAAAGAACGAGTCGACCAGGATACAAATATTCCACGAGCTACAAACGAAGTACCGAGAATCACCTTTGTTGACGAAAGCATGCTCGGAATTGTCGCAGTTGGTGACGTGACAGACCTGCTCGAGCAAGAGGATGAATTCGACACCGACTCGGAGAGCGATGCGAACAATGATATAGACATAACGTTCAGCAGATTTGGTCGCGCCACCCGCGCTCATTTCCGCCTTGATCTCTAGAAACAATTGGGACTATCAGGACAGTTAGAACTATTCAGGTATGGAATATGAAATGTTTTTGGCCAGGATGGAGTGACATGTCTGTCATTTTTGTTGACCATTATAAATTGTGAGTACTGTAGCCGATCTCATTGGTAAAAGAAATATTCTGTTATTGCATCATTACTAGTCAAATTTTAACACTCATTTATGTTAACGTTCATTTTCCTTGTAATTTTCGTAGTTATCTCTTTTTGTTTACAGTGTGGATACCCTAACTGGGACCATCTCACAAAGCTAACCAATCATATTTAGGTATTCATACAAAAGATGACAATCCGTAAATTTGCTTAATGTTACTTTTTATTTCGATGTTCTATCCCATTGGCTGTTTGATTTGAATATCGTAATCTGATTTGTTACTGATATATTCTCTCTAAGTGGTCACGGTTGGTGTATCCTCGCTGTAAAAGCGCTTTAAGAATAGAACTGTTATGAGTTATACAAGCCAATTCTGCGGTAGTCTTCAAACATCGTCGGTCATAAGTCTGTGGACATCTTTGGCAGTCTCAGTGGACATCTTCGGCAGTCTTTGGACATCATCGGCAGTGTTCGGACATCTTCGGCAGCCTTTAGACATCTTCGACAGCTTTCGGACATCTTCGGCAGCTTTCGGATATCTTCCTCACTCTTCGGAAGTCTTGAAATAATCCCGAATTGTTGGAAAATGGCCAAAAAAACTTCTTCGATACAATAAACATAGGCCCAACATAGATATTTCTACTTTTAGGGCGTAGTTTGTTTGTTTATGGGAAAAAAATAATGTTTCACAGAATTTTTTAATGTTAGTGTTAAAATGGCTAAAAATTAACTGTTTAATGTTGTATGGCTAAAAAAATGTGTTTAGTGTTATCGAAGTACCCCCATTCAGACCCTCAGTTAGGCCAGAGTTGGAATGTAGCCTCGGACTGAAGACTCTTTTAAGAGCCTAAATGAGTCTTTAAGAGTTTTTTTAAGAGTTTGATTTCTTAAAAGAAAAGAATTAGCCACTGTTATCAAAAGTCACCAAACCATGATGGAGTATGGTCGCATCTTTACGCTTCTCGTTGCATCATTTGATTTTCCTGTTTCTACAACATGACCTGAACAATACCATGACTACTGCCTCACCATATTTATGAAGGCAAATATGTGGAAAGTGAAGATCTCTGTAATAAATAAACGGGAGGGGAGAACAAACATCTGAAATGTGATACATTCTTTGTTGAAATAAAGGTAAAGCATTTATAAGGACTCTCTTGCTTCAAAGTTTTTCGAAAAATGTGTTTCTGGCAGGGCTCGAACCTGCGACCTTCCGCGTGTAAAGCGGACGTGATAACCGCTACACTACAAAAACCCATTATATACATAGATGTGCTAAATAGTTGAATCTATTTTAATATGGCCTGTAGAGTATCGTTATCAGATTTAACGGAACTAAAGTCGGAAAAAAAGCAAAAATAACCGCCATTCGGTAATCTTTTAGATTTGCCTGCGTTAAAACCAAGGGATGTTATTAACAACGGAGAAACTGAATTAGGGTAATATTCCAAACAGAAGTAATGGGAGCTCCCCTCGAAAAAAAATAATGGTTAAGGGCTTGTGAAGAGCCAGAAACGGAAAACAAAATGGGCTATATCTTTTATGGTATTGCCGTCGTCACAAGTCGAACCCGGGACCTCTCGCACCCAAAGCGAGAATCATGCCACTAGACCAACAGGCCGGAGCTATCAAATATGGTCTAGGAAGGGTATTTTATTCATTGCTGTTATTAAAGCGGGTGGATTAACACCTGCGTCACGACAGTGTCATGAACAGACTGGTGTTACTGTTGTTTTGATTTTAGTTGCACTTCGGAATATTGTTCAAGTCTAAATGACAACATCTTATTAAACGCGTATACTTAGCCGGTTTACAAGGAGTGTACATTAAGACAGAAAAACAATTTCTTTCTCGGAAGAAAGAATCAACAAATCCAAAGACGATCAGTAGAATGCACTAATTGTCACTCAAGACTTGTGAGAGCTTCATCCTACAGAGGGGTCCAAGCTCGGAGAGCCTCGGATAGAAGGCTCTAAAGAAAGTACCAGAACTCTAAAACATTACCAAATTCTAAGATCTAAGGTCGGCCACCTAAGGTTGTCAGGAAGTATTATCGCAGCGAACGGCTTTTCAAAGTTTACCTAGCACCTGGTGGGGTAGTTGCATTTGAAAGAGGAGCTGTACGAGCCAACCTCAACGTCAGGCAGAAACCTGCAAACAATTCACCACTGCTCTACCATCAATCTCTTCAATAAAACGAGTTTCTCCAAAGGACAGTTAGTGTGTGTACATCCCACACTGAAGGACAAATTATGAAGAAAGACAAGAAATGAAGCCCAGCCTTCAAATTATGTAAACTGGGGTATTCCAGGCTACTTTCGTCTTTTTCAGCTAAATGGTAAAGAGCGGGTGATTGCAGTTGATTTCCAACACATGAGCATGTGAGCGCCACAGTCAGTAACTGTGTAACAGAACGGTTTATATTTTTAATCGAGAAATGAGCCATATAAAACATGCAACAAGGAAACAAAAGGGTTTGATGAGGTGTAAAATATCGTCCAGTTAACAGCCGAGCGCTCGCTAACTGATTACGCCACGAAGACAACTCCATAAGCATTTCGTTAAGGGGTGTATTGTGTTTGCTAAATCTTAAATGTTTAGAGTCTTAAGAAAAAAGATAAATGTATCAATTCTATATTTATCAATTCCTGGTATAAATCGATAGCAAGAGAAGGGAGGTCGTTCATCATAAAGGTTTCATCTAATCCCAGTTCCACGGCGGCTTTCCTGTAGTTTACCCTGGGATAGGTTGTTAGTAGTAATAGGGGGTTAGAACATTTTCCACACTTTCGTATTTTGTACACTTAATAAGTCACTAATTTGTTTAGGTGTATGATACCTTGAAGTTTACAGACGGTTGTAAACTACATTCCTCGATTTCGTTGCCCCCTTTACCATAAAGTAATGATCCCTGAACTGTGCTGGAATTAAATCAATGTAAGATTTCTTTTTAGCCTGCGCACTGATTTCCTTAATTCTGTCTCAGTCCAAGTTTGTTGTCTGGAATTAGATAATTCCCACATCATTACATACACCAAACACGCGGAAGATCACAGGTTCATCTCCTAAGTTTTGTCCTCTCTTTATGTAGGAGGCAATTCACGCCTAAGAGTGTATTGTTACTCGAAGTTCGCTTAAAGATAAGTAATGCTTACACCTATAATGGTATAGCAAAAAAAAGTAGCAATTTTGATTATTGCTCAGAGGTCTGTCCGCTGACAGATTTACAGATTTTGGCTCAAAATTATGCTGCACCCAAACCAGAGTAGAACAGAGCACACAGCAGTCAAACATCTGTGCATGGACAATGTACCCTTGTCGTGTACTTTTGGGCTGTCACAACCATGTTGTCCAACAGGAAATATAAGCAACCACACAAGCCATTAAGTCTCGATGTTTCAAAAACGTAGAACTTTTTAAGATAACTAAAGCTAAAAACAAAATATACGATAACATGGATTATATTTGTTAATCTCTGAGAAATATCCTATGTAATAAAAGGAGGACAAAAGGTGACTACAAAAGGTACTTCAAAGGTATTCTGGCAGGGCTCGAACCTGCGACCTTCCGCGTGTTAGGCGGATGTGATAACCACTACACTACAGAAACTACCCATAAGGAGTAGCATAGGGAACGAAATATGATCGATTTACAACGATAAATATTTCGAAATATGAACATTTTACACGTTGAATCAATAGTATTTACTCACATCTTTTCTGTCCGTTGTGGTTTCCGGCGTTCTCTGCCGTTTTAAGCTTGCTTTACCGACTTTTTTAAGAGTTTCTTTTAGAGCCTTAAAAAGTCTTTGTGAGTTTCTTTTAAGAGTTTAATTTCTTTAAAAAAAAGAATTAGCCATTGTTATCAAAAGCCACCAAACCAGGATGGAGTATAGTCGTATCATATATATGTTAACGCTTCTTGTTCCATCATTTCATTTTTCTATTTCTACAACCTGAGCTGAACAATAGTATGACTACTGCCTCACCATATTTATGGAGGCAAATTTGTGGAAAGTGAAGATTTCCATAATTACTAACAGGAGGGAAGAACAAACATCTGAAATTTGTTACATTCTTGGTCGAGGTAAAACTAATCATTTATCCTCTTGCTTCAAAGTTTTTCTAAAAGTATGTTTCTGGCAGGGCTCGAACCTGCGGACGTGATAACCACTAAACTACAGAAACCTGTTACATTTGTTGTAATAAACACTTGAATCTAATTTAATATGGCCTGTAGAGTATCGTTATCAGAGTCAATGATACACGGCACGGCACGGCTCTCCTGTTGTTGTGTTTTTTTTTTATCGTGGGTTTCCACGCTTCTAAAATTTCTATTCCACTATCCACTAAGTTGTTAGGGTGAAGTCTTATATGAATTGCCTCTTTGACCCTGCGCATGTAGTGATATGGGTCACGATCAATAAACTTTACTTAGTTCCAGAGTGGCTTGTGTCCGGTGTTGTGGGCATGCTCTGAAACGGCGGAGGTCTCGGTACGGGCGAGTCGAATTTCTCGATCGTGCTCCTAAATTCTGTCTGCATAGGTCTTCCAGTCTCTCCGATGTACACCTTGCCGCATTCACAGGGAATCCTGTAAACTACGCCATCTTGTTTAGCCAGGTCGACAGCGTCTTTTGGTCGTACCAACTGAGATCTAAGCGTAGTCTCCGACTTGAAAACAGCGCGTACGCCTTGTTGTTTTAGGCAACGGCGAAGCTGTTCGGACAGACCTTTGACATAAGGTAAAACCGCAGTAGCTTTGAACTCGTTGGCGGGTTTGGCACTGTTGTTTGGTTTTGCCTGAAGAAGACTAGCAGTATGCAGTCGAAATGTCGCGATCTACATCACACGTGACTACATCGTGAGACAAACGAAAAAC